CAGCGCTGCTGCTAACGCGGCGTTTAAGAACAAAGGAGTTGCTGTGAACAGGTTTGGCTGTACAGTAATTACAAGTGTTCTAATTCATTTCAAGAAGCTGCTCTAGAGGAGAGAGTAGCTAATCCATGTGGTCTTGCACTTTTGTCACCGAATCAACTTAATGCGTGTAGCTTGAAAAACATTTGGAAAAATCAGTCCATGGATAAAAGCGGGGCTGTGTAGCACATACAGGTGAGGACGCTGCTATACAGAGCTGCCAGCACGGCCCCGTTCTTGCACCTAACCATTCCCGTGGAGCAGACTTGGCTCTGGATATAGGAATTACAGTATTAATTAGCCACTTAAATGCGAGGCTGAATTTTCACTTTGCATTTATGCTTCCCCCTGCCCCGCGTGTGTGTTTGTAAAGGTTTTAAAATGCATTCATCACAATTTTAAAATGCCATTATCAGCATTTAAAATAGGTCAGAATTCACATCCTGCAGACTGTCTTGAGAAAAGCTATGGCTTTGCAGTAAGTTGGTGTCTTTCTTAATTATTTGTGATTTTTTTGAGTATCTCCTCATCTTAAAGAAACTGATGTGGCCATTTCAAGGGGGTGTGGAAAAGTGAAACTTGCATCTTTTAACGGTTTACCTTGTTCCATGTTCGCAAGCAGGAGTCTCCACAGGCGCTACAGAGTTTAATCATCCCCTCAGAAGAGACTTGGTCTGGTTAGGAATGAACTTCCTATCTAAGCTCTGTTTATATGGGGCAGCCAAAATAGCTTCAAATGAATTTCTTTGGGAATTCCATTTTAATTCTTGTTTAGCGAGGCGGGCAGGGGGAGTTGGAAGAATGTTTACGCTGATTTTTTACTACAGGAGAACTGTTTCAGATTTGTTTTTCTAGCTCTCCATTCTTGTGTTGTCTGACACAACTGTGTCTTGCACTGAATTGGCTCTGGTGGTGGCAAGCCTGCTTTAACCAGTTGTCTGGCCTTGATGGCTTCTTAACTTCTTTGTTTCAATTGCAAAAGACGCACAACTTTCACAGTGTGATGAACCGAAGGAAACGAGAGAGCTTGGTCTGTAATGACCAAAATAAAAAGTGTAGTTGCAGGAAGGAACAATCAAACCGGATTGCGTTGATCTGGGTTTGGATGTAGGGTGAGAACGTCATCTCCCTGCCTGCTCGCCGCTCTTTAGGATGGGACTGGGAAGTCCCTTTGTGTTTGAGTCCTTGGGGCGGGGGGAGGGGGCACCGAATGGGGTTATAAAGCACTCTGGTATCTACTGGAGGGAAACTATAGAAAAGACAAGGAATTTTGCTACTACATTTATCAGCCAGAACATGATGACTGCCAGACTGTATAAAATAAAGCAGTATTTTATTAACATTTCTTGTACAAAAATCTCGGTTCTTTCATGGTTGCTGACTTAGACTTCAAAGTTGGCAAAGGTCTATGTAGGACCTGGAGCACCTGCTCCCAGGGTGTGTTCGCTTCTTGACATTATTCAGTGGAGTGCCTGCGTTACGCATCTGCAAGGTCAAAATTCCAGTTTCTAACCGTGTCTAATGGCGGAGGCTTCAAACAGAATGTGACTGTGCAGATTTGAGAGCTACAAACTGAAAAATGCTGTCACCAGTGCATATAAACATGAGCAAAGAAAACATAGGACTTTGTGCAGGAAGGAAAGACACGGCTTCGTGTACAGGGTTTACCCCCAAATGTCCGCCTGCCCTTTCCAACAGGGCTATTTGCACTGCAGCCGATCCTTCAAGCTCTCCCAGTCGCTGTCTTCCTTCTGTGGATGGGGTTAATGCCTTTCTCTTATTTACATCATGCCTGTCAAATTTTGAGTTGCTGTCTTGGGGAGAGCTGTATAAGCACTTAGCTGATAGTAACTTAGGAAACGTTTGCATTTGGTAACCCACTTGTATCGGGACTTTCAGAAAGTTTTACACAGACTTATTTACCTTCAAGTGTTACTTCTTACTCTGCCTATCCCAAATCAGTATTTAGTGTTTGTGGGTTACTGCTTGGAGGCTGTGTTAGTTTGCCAACTTAAATGTGTGTAACTATTAAAAGTTTGAGTCATAAATTACTGTGCCTTTGCTGTTAAGACTTAAATGCAAAACACTTGATGGCTTTTGGGTTGGTTCAACAAATGACTTCCCCAGACCAAACTCCAACTGTTCACTTTGTCTGTCAGTCCCCCCATCCCCCTGCCCCTTTCTGCCTCCTCCTCCCGAAGTATCCAAAGTGTTTTGGGTTGAATTGCTCTCCATCTTGCCCTGCTTTGAAATCCTTGGAGGGCCTGTGATTACTGTCACCCCAGGCTTCAAGAAGTGCTGTGCTATGTTTAGTTGGGGAATCCCCTCACTCTTGGAAGTGACAGTACAAAACTGTATCCAGCTTTCACTCAGCTTGACTTTGTCCAGGTGCTTTAGCTGGGTTTATGGAAGGAAAATAACAGAGATAAATGGAGCTGCATTTGAGGAAGTTTCTCTAAGTTAAAACATATACCCTTTCCTTTAAGGGTCCTCTTCTCCCAGAAGAGATTCAGCTGAGCCAAACAGTGCTTTCATATGTGGCTCAAGTTTTGACTGGTAAAGGCCACGTTCGATTTAAAGAAAGAAAAAGCCAAAAAGAAGTAGTTTTTTATGAACCGTGATGGTACTGAGTTTGTTTAACCAGCACGCTAAACATTTCAGACTCCACTGTTTTGCTCTTAAATACCACATGGGTTTCTTAGCGTCTGAACTGCCTCTGCGTTGTCACTGCTGTGGATTGAGTTTATTTTGGGGAGAGGAACTTCAGTGGATTATGCTGAAATAGCCTTGGAATACTTTAACGTGAGCTCCAAGGGGTTCCTGCCGGAGGAAGGCGCTAAGGCTGCGGCGGGCGCAGGGGCTGTTGTGCTGCCGGCAGCCTGCGCTGCTCCCCGGTACAGGCAGGGTTCCCACCCGCAGAGCCGCCTCTGTCCCGAGGAGAGAAGGTCCCTAAAGGAGCTTGTAATGCGAAATAAAATTGCTTTGTCCCCTCTGGTCAGTAAAACACTTACCCAGGAAGTTGGAAGGAGAGTGACAGGATACTTCTGAGCTCCAGGGCCCATCGTCGTGCGATGCTTCGCGTCTATCAGTGTTCTATGAGGAGAAGCTGTGTTTATTGATAAGATCCACTACTTGGAGGTGCTCAGCTCTTCAGAATTTTTTCTTATCTGGAGTAAGCTCATTTTTACAGCAGCGTGTTTTATTGGATAAACCCTTGCCAAATGTCCAGGAACAGCAGGCTGTGCTAGCCACTTTTATCAGGGCAGAGGTCTCCTAAAACTCAATATTCAAAGGAGAATTCATGTTTAGCAAAGCTATGGTGATGATTCCGCTTTTATAGCTAAAATGGTCAAAAGGTGGATGCCTCTGTTTGGCCTACTTGATTTTTATGATATATAGTATCAAAAATCCTAGCTATGTTCAGAGTGCATCTCCTCACTATTAAAATACATTAAATAATAGCTCTCATGGAGTTCTCAATAAAACCCTTCATAGAGCTGCTACCTAATACAGCTTGGCTGCAGTTAATAGTGGGGGAGAGTGAGAAGCAAGAGGAGCATTTGGAAATCTGATGCATTTCAACTCTATTCTCACATGTAACAGAGCAGCACACAGTTTTCCCACGGCGCTTCAAATTCTGCACTGCTCGCAGCGTTAAAGCAACATCTGCAGCGTGGCTGAGCGGAGCTGGCTGGCTGGTGCGGTCTGTTGGGACCTTTGAGGGGTAGAAGGACACATAAGTACCACATCCGTTGCTCAATGGCAGATTACCTTTAGATTACCTTTAGATTACCTTTAGATTACCTTTAGATTACCTTTTTCCCGTGGTAGGTGTGCTGCAGCTTGAAGCAACTTGCTGTTTGGGGAACCGATGGGAGGTCGCTCACCTTCACAGCCGTCTCTCTGGCGTGCTGCAAGCCTGTCCCTGGCACACCTCGCCGTAACTCATGCCGTGCGCTGCCTCGGGTCAAGCAGGGGACTAGCTTGTCGCTGTCTGTACGGGCAGTTACGCAGACGTTTCCAGGTGCTCCTAATGGAAAGGCAGGTTTGCTTGTGTTGGCCGTTCTGAGTGCCCTGCTGTGGACGAGCTACCTGGAGCATCTCAATGCGTTACCCCTCATGTTATTTAGTTTTGAATCTGTTCCTGCCTGGATACTTTGTCAGGTTTGCTGGGCAAAAGGCTTGTCTCGACAAAGCTGGGAGGTGGTGGGATGCAAACAGGTCTCCAAGAGTTGCTGGCCATGCTGGTATTGAATGAGTACTGGCAGTGATTAGGAATACCAGGAATTTTTCTAGGCAAGATGCGCTCCTCAAGAAGGGAATGAGCTTCCACTGCATCATCTTGCTTGTAGGAACGTGTGGGGAAATGTTGCAGAGCTATCACCATATTACAAAAGGAAAATGAGCTTCTGGCACTCTGTTTTAAGAAGTGGGAGTAACGGATTTCATGAGGAGCTTGTCCTGTCTCAGCGTAACATGAATGCCATGACAGTGCAGAAGTAAAATAGACTTGAAGCCTCTTCCCACACTGGTAGCAGGGTTTGTGAGCCTGCACCTGCAGAGACACTAGAGGTAGGGCTAGGGACTGCTCTCCATGAAAAAAGCATTACTAGCAGTCCAAAGAATTACCTGTATATGTGCCAGCTGGGGGCCTGGTGAACTGCATGTGATGGCTTATTTCCAAATAGTCTTATGATGTTAAAGGATGTAAACACAGACTACAGATGGAATGCAGCTTACATAAATGCATCTTTCCTTTTAATAATGAAATTCCACAGCTCGTGGCAGTTTGCTTTGCAGAACATCATCATACTTTGTAATGGGTGCTTACGGAGGGCTGGGTAGCAATAACAATTGGAATTTCCTACCAGCAGTGATCAAAGGAAGCATTACAAGTGTTGGCATCCTAACGCTGAATTAGTTACCTTCAGGGGTCCTTTGTAGAGATTGGGGCTTGTGCAGTATTTGCCCCTCTCCCCTCAATTCCCTGGGATAAACCATCTGGCTTCTTCCTTGGCCAGTGTTGCTTCAGAGGCAGAGAAGAGTTTGCTCTCATTTTGCAAATTTTTCCATTATGGGTGTGACAGTCAATGATACAAATGCCTGTGTAAACTAGGTCCTTTTCAGAAGGGCCTTTACGGTGGAGGAAGGCCTCAGAAGTCTATGGGAAATGAAATAGCAGGAGCAAGAGAACTTGAGTGATTCCAACATTCACGTGACATCCTGTTTGGGACTCCCTGTCTTGACAATGGTGCAACAACAATCTCCAAAATAATTCTCATCAGAGATAAATTGTAAACACTTGCGTTTGGTGAGCAAAGAAACGGACAGTAGAGATTTCATTTAGAGGAGTTTGGTTGTTCAGAGATGGGATTTGCCTGGTCTGCCGGTGAGATCTGCTCAGTTTTCCCGAAGGCATCCTTTGGAGGAGGCTATGTCTGCTGTGAGTCGAGAGTTGCAGTCTTGCTCCTACCAGACCATAATGCATCTTGATACACTTCTATGATGAGCACCTGATTTGAATAATAAAAGTTCTAGATTATCTTTTCACACCATGAATTTAATATTTGCGATTATATTTAAGATAAAATGACAGCTAGTAGGGCGCCTCCATGAGTTACCTCTCCATTGAACTGACTTCTGCCTTTGCGGCTGTTATTCCAGCTTCCCTCAAGGTAAGCACAGTCTATGTTTCAAGAAGAGAAGGATGCTCAGCACGGTGTGGTTTTGACGATAGACTTTTCCCCCCCACCCTTGCCTTGGCCTCGTGTGCCTGGCGCCTTGGGTTATAAAGAGCCCACCATTGCGCGGTCCATTTCCCACCCCTGCCCACACCCTGCGACTGGTAGGGCTGGTGCCCCCCGCTTGTCGGCGCAGCTTGGCTTCGCTCCCTCCAGGCTCCGGCCACGGGTGCTGCTCTGCAGCCTCCCCGGGCCGGGCTCTTTCTTGACAAGTGTCCGCACTTTTGCAGGGGGTGGTTTGGTGTTTTGAAGTTTGGTTTGCTGGGATACTAAGGGATGACAGAACGGACTTTTCCCCTGGCCTCTGTAGCCGTCACTCTCATCCCCTCAGCCCTCTGGGGTTCGTAAGAACACAGGACACTTTCTCTTCCCATCAGCTGTAGTTACTGGATGACCTGTTGTTTCATGGGAAAATTCACAGCCCCACAGTGTGTTAGCTCTTTAATTAAAGAGCAGAGGACAGGAGTGTTCCATGGTGATTACCAATTAGCAGAACCTTGCAAGTGAAGTTTCTTGTCTGCTCTTTGTTTATTATTTTAAAATGTGGCTTCATGTCTTTTGTGTCTTACAAAATGCTTGTTTTTTCCAGCCCCGATTTAGGTGTTAACAATAAGTAAAATACTAACCTCAGTGCTGCATCCTTGCAGTCTGACCCTTCTTGTGTTTGGATTGAATCTTTCCGTCCCATCCTTAAACAGGTCTTCCAGGTTCTAAAACCATTCTCCCTGCAAAATTCACAAGAGGAAATAGGGGTCAATCCAGTCAAATAACTTGGTCCATACTGATATTAAGTAGATTTTAAATCAATGGAAGTTTCTGTTGGTGTGCAGTCAGTGATGTCGTATGTGCAGTTCAGGCTGCTCTGGAGGCGGTTTGTCAGAATAGCCCATCTTTTCAAGACAGAAATTAATTTGTTTGAAAACATCGTCCAAGTTCCAGGAGACTTTGATAGACATTGACAGGAAAACTAAAGGAGCAAGGCCTGGGTTTTGTTTTGGTTTTTTTTTTAAACTTAAGATGCAGTTTGGATACCACTGAGATCAACGGGTATCTGAATAGGGAATTCAACTTGGAAAACATTCGCTCCTTGAGCTGTGAGCTCTGAGGCTGTTTGAAATAGGAAAAATGGCGAAGGAGATGAAGCAGGGTTCTAATCCATCAGAGAATTGCTTTACAAGAGAAAATTGTGTTTAGATTTGAAATCAGAGTAATAAAATGTTTCCTCAACACGTTATGAGTGCTGTCATTTGACTCTTCAGGGCCTTCAAAGGGCCCGTACTTGGCACGAATGGAGGCCAAGGGGAATGCAAACTGAAGTTTTGCTACAAGGGTTTTATTTGTGGTTTCTTTCTTGAGTGCTGTTGGTAAACACTCAACTACAGAAAAGTCTTTTCTCTGTGTTACCTGCGTACGTCGTGCATCGTACTTGACGCTCAGAAGCCTACGAGCACTGATGTTGCATTTGGAAAAGTCCATGACTAGTCGAAGTTCCAATTCTAGAATCACCAACTACTCCCAAAGAAAATGAGATTTGAAGGGGTGCTTACAGACGCATAGCACGGCCTCTGTGCAGGCACTGTTTTTGCTTCCTCAGGCATGTCTGCCTCGGGGTGCACTGAAACCCACTGCCCACACCATCTATGTGGAAGGACCCAGGGGCCTGTTGGTGGGGAACAAAAGCTTACAGGGGAAAGAAATATTTCTGTCATCAGAAATAAATTATTTCAGCCTGGTCACATTGGCAGCAGGACGATGGCAGAGGAAATGGAGAGCTCCAAGTTGGTGTGGAGGAGGTGTTTCACTGGAGGCCGGACTGTGAAGCACGTGAAATATTAGTGCAGAATTGTTGCCCACAGGTCTTCAGGATTTGGGACTGCTGTTTTGTAATGGGACTAAAGTTTCTAACAGTTTTCTCTGTTTAAATAAGCTTTTAGCTGGTGTGCGTGTGTTCCTTAAGTGAAATGTAGGTTGCCTTTCTCTTACGCTAAAGACCACTCCCACCACCCCAAAAAGAACAAAAAAGAGGAGAGGTGTTCCTCTGCTTTTTATGCACAGAGCATTAATTTCATAGAACCATAGAATCATTTGGTTGGAAAAGACCTTTAAGATCATAGAGTCCAGCCATACCTGTCCGCCACTAAACCCTGTCCCTCAGCACCGCCCCTGCCTGGCTGTTAAATCCCCCCAGGGCTGGGGACTCGACCCCTTCCCTGGGCAGCCCCTTCCAGTGCCTGACAGCCCCAAGGGGAAGGAATTGTTCCCCATGGCCAACCTCACCCTGCCCTGGCACAACTTAAGGCCGTTGCCCCTCGTCCCAGCGCCCGTTCCCTGGGAGCAGAGACCAACGCCCACCATTGCAGGAGGAGCTGGACATATCTTGGGATCAGGCCCATTAATTTAAAAAATAATAGTGTATCGCAGAGGCATGGAGACTGAGTCCTGGAATCAAGTAGGGAAATTATGTCTTAGTCATAGTTATTATGTGGTAGGATAAAGTGCTATAAATTTAAATACTTGTCAGATTTGGAGCTATTCTCGCATTTGTTTAGTGCTTTCAATATTAATGTTCTGAATAAAATAGTTGCTTAATTAAGGTAATGTATTGGCAATACTCCGATAACTTGATCCGTTCCATCCTTCAGCCTTTTCATTGTGTTACGTATGAGTTCATCTAATTTAGAATTTAATATTTTTTTTTTCCCTAAAATGCTGTTTAATACCAGCTACAGAAGTTCAGGGTTATGCTGTAGACTCCATACATTATGTAAAATTATCCTTTTTGTACCATAATGGAGCTGAAGAGAACAGCATCTGTACACAGACTGCCAGAAATAAATGGTTGCATAAAATAGATCTTAAGCACTCAAAATGAGACATTTCAAAAATTAGGTAGTTCACTGAACAGGTAGAAAATGTTGTGGATTATCCAAACCATTTAGCTAATCAGTAGCGAGGAAGGAATTTCTCACTCGGCAAACAAGTCTTTGTGCGTGTTCTTTCACCGGAGTCTTCCTTTGGAGCGAGGGAGGTGTCCCAGCCTAGGGCGCCGCTGGTGCCGCAGTGAAAGTCTCCATCTCCCGATTCCTGCCGTACCAAGGGGATACAGCTCGACTTGAACACAAGGTTTGTTCTGCGATAGA